AATATCTAAACTAAGCAGCTGCAAATTAGAACCGAGAAAGGAAATTCAAGTTTCAAATTCAACTGTTCTGTAACAGATAAAAATAAAACTCCCTGTTTTTATGCGTAGTGTGAAAGAATATATTGTTTGCAAATCCACAAATAAATGTACATTTTTTATAAAATATGAGTATCTAACTGCATGTTATTTGAATTTCATGCTATTACAGCACAAATAATTAAAATTATATTGGAAGAGGATATGATGTTAGCAACTATTTTATATATCTTGGAGACTATTTAGGAGACTTTTTTTCATATATGAAGCAACTAAAGCAACTATTTTTCTTGTTTTCATCCAGTGGCAGCACTGTTCTTTTGATCATTAGAAATTTTCTGCTTAATAACAAACCAAAAAATAAGTTAAATCTTGAAATTTTTTTAGAGTGGCACCCATGCAATCAGAATTTTATGTAATCCAAACAGTCACTATAACCGTTTATCCTGGTGGCGGCCTAAGTTGACTTTTTCAACCACCCAAATTTTTGTCGGAAAATGACAAATATTAATACTTGTTATTTTCTGACAAAAGCAAGTATTGCTTATTTTGTGAGGGAAGCAATAATTACTACCTATGATATTACCTATGATATTTTAACAAAAGTAATACAGGATATCCCAGTTTATAAATGAACTTATATTACAAAAATCTGTAATAAGATGAGATATTTTTTGTTCTTCAAACCTCAGTGAATTTAAAAACAATGAAATATTATGAATTATTCTGCGATTCAATTTGCATTTTCTCTCCTGATATTTTCTTGGCTTATTATAATTTACCAGAAACAATACTCTAAATTATGTTCTGGAAAATAAAAATTAAGAATAAGGAAACTTTTGAAACTTACCTTAAAGTTACAAATTTAAAGATTCCAGAACATCTTCTGTTTCAGATTTAATAACATTATCAGTGTCGTAATACTCCGCAATGGATTATGATAAATTGTCGTCTCTCATTGAAAAAGTCTGAAATTCCATGCTTTTTAAATTAACATTTGAATACATATTTTGCCACGCGTCTAGCACCCTTTTAGGGCAAATGTGAACGATGTAAAACATTTTAGAACATTAATATTAATTATAATAATTATTATTGATACAAAAATAATTATTAATAATAATTATTTTAGAATATTTAAAAAACTTAAGAAAATTTTTTATGTAATCTTCTTAACTTCTTTTTTCCTTTTTTTTAATTTTAGAAATTTGCTATATCGTAATAAAAAAATAGGGGCTCAGGAAAAGATATACTGTAGTGCATATTAACTATGCAAATTTTAATGAAGATGGTGTACCTATATCTGTTTCTTGTGGTGATATAGAAAAATAAGTGTGTCTTTTAAATTACTTTTTCCCCATTCTAGTTGGGACAGTTTGGACATTAATAATCCACTTGAGGCCATAAAAGAAACTGTATTCTTTCAAATTATTGAAATAGCATTTGACCAAGGTTTGTATTTACATTGTTTATTTGTTTTCAATTTTTAAAATGTTCGTTTGGTAATTGCTTTCTCTTTTCTTTAAAATAGATATAATTTCTTTCAGTATTTTTAACATTGCTGACTTATTTTAACTTGAAAAGTAGTTTTACCTATACCTATTTTAATTATACATTTAATGTTTAAAAAAATTGCTTATCCATTTTAATTTTAAAATTGAAAATAAATGTATGTAACTATGTTAATTATTTCAAAACATTTATTTTAGTATATACATTTTCCATTAACTTAAAATTATTCTTTGAGTATTTCCATTGTCTTTTTTTTTTTTAATCAACTTCCATCAGTATTTAGAATATTTTCTACTCAATTTAATTTGAAAAGTAGTTTAATATATTTGCATTTTCTATGCATGTTTGATATTTAAAAAAAAATTGTTTTAGATTTTGCATTATCTCTTAATTATAATGTATATTATTACCTGTCATTGTTTAAAAATATGGTTACTTTTTTTAATATTTAATTATTTGCTTAGAGTAGGTTTTTTTTAAATTTAATTTCGTTGCATTTAAAAATAATTTACTAATTTTTTTTCTAAAATTGAAAATTATTACTTGCTATGATTTTTGTGAAATAATGTTCAATTTTTCTTCTAAGGTCAAGATATTCATGATTTCATGCCAGATATTGATGAGCTGTTGCAGCAGGGCGAATTGAGTGAACTATCAGACAACCCTAGCATAAAATTTTTACTTGAAGCTGGTTATGAACATATACGAAAAATTGTTATTTAATTCATGCCTTCATTTGTAAATAATTTTCTTTGTCACCTTGTTAATAATTTTGTATATTTGTTTACTTTTCTATAAAAGAAAGATTTTAAAAAATTATCTAATGTTTTCATTCATATCGAAACTTTTGTTTTAAAGGCATATTGTTATTAAATATACATTTGAACAGGCAGTATGGAAGGAAAAATGATTATCAATCAAATTTTTAAAAAAGCGACCTTGCCATCTTAATTTTTAGGCACATTTTTTATTTTTCCTATATCTGAGCAAGCTTATGATACAAGATGTACATTTTTATATCATTCAGCAGACTAATATTTGAAAAAAGTATTGGGAGTACGAATGAGTTTCCGCCGTTTTCTTTTAAATAAATTAGCAGATTATTGTGAAAAAACAGTACATTATCTTTTATTCAAAATATTCTCCATTATTATTCACTGCTTTTTCCCATCTTTCTGGGAGCATTTGGATACCACGTCGGACGAACTCTTCATCTTTCGAGGATATCCACGAATCGACCCATTCCTTCGTTTCTTCAAATGATGTAAATTTCTGCTCAGACAGACCATATACCAACGACAGTAATATGTGATAATCTGAAGGGGCAAGATCTGGCGAATACGGCGGGTAAGGCAGAACTTCCCATTGAAGTGTTTCCAAATAGCAAAATCAATTTTCATGCAAAGTCGACGTTCAATGTCTCTTGGTTTCAGTTCGCATGAAACCCAACTTCCTTGTTTTTGGATCATCCCACCTATTTTAAACAATGTGAAATTGCCTGCTGAGTTACTTGTAATGTAAGAGCAAGTTCTTTTTGCTGAACCTCTTTTTTTTTTTTTTGCAGTTATTGATATTGATTTTCTTAAGGTTTTTAAAACTCTGACATAACGACGCGTGAAATTGAATTGGGCAATTGAGCAATCACTTTTTGTCACACTCAATTTGCACCGATACCATTGTAAAAATTGCCAATTGTTGCTTTGAATTCTCAGATTGTTTTTTGAAATCCTTTTATTTTTTATACAATATTATAACGACACACAAAATTCGAATTGTGCATTTGATTAGTTATTTTTTGACGTCACAATTACTTTCAATCAACTTTTTCGAAGATATTGTTACTGATTTCCACTAAGTTATAAAAATCCTGACATTGACATTTTTCATACATCATTACAACACGAGAGATTGGAATCGCGCATTTGAGTAATCGCTTTTTGGTGCGTTCGATTTGCGCTGAATCCATACAATCGTTTTTCACCAGCCTGATTGATGTTAATTTTAGTATGAATTTTAAAAATTTCAATCTATAATTCCATTACGATTCGAATAGTGCATTTAAATATTCACTATCTGATGCAATGATTCCATCAGTTTCGTCCCGTAGTGGACTGATCGGTAAGACACGGTTCCCAGCAGATCACCAAAGTCAAGCATCAGTGGTTGCGGTCAGTGTGCGGGTGGGTGTCAACTTGGATCAGTCTGGGTAGGGACCGAGGGTGTGCGGTATTGGGCGTCGTTAAGCTGTTCTACCGTAAAGTGCTCGACTTCGCGTGCAGGTTGTTGGGCTACCGAAACAAGGGTGCCATCCCCTCCGCAGAGGATCAAAATTGTGATGGTTTGTCTACGGATCATCCTCAGGGATGTTTCCCAGACCGCCGCCAATAGCCCATTGTGCAGCTCTAGTGCGACGTAAATTAACTACAACAATCCATCAGTTTTGTTTTAAAACACGTGAATCTCTAATTTTTTTTTCAAAGTTATTACTACGAATTTCTCAATTCCGTTTCTGTTTTTTATTTCCATTATTTATCTTAATGCAATAACGACTCGCAATGAGCGAGAAAAAGGAAGAACATGTAAAATAAAATATTAAAATGAAACTACACCTTGAAAAAGAAAACTATCTCGTTTAAAAGTAAAACTAGCCAAAATGTTTCTAATACATTTCTTCTTTAAACAATTATTTCTTTTTAAGCAATCATATAGTACCTGTTATGAGGATATCTAATAGTCTCTTTAAGGTAGGACGCACATCATAAGGATTGAAAAATGATGTCCTGTTCGTATATTTTTGAACTGATACTTTTATTTACCTTAATTAGCGTGATTTTATAATTTCTATTATTACCGAGAATGGAATTCAGATAAGCTCGGAAATAACTGCATTGTAGATATTTAATAATTTGATGCGATAAAACAGCCATTTCTGAGTTTATTCAAATGCAATTTTGGAAAATAATCATTAGAAAACTAAAAATAGTTAGGAGAATTTCATAATTTTGTGGTTATCTTATTTGGATTTAAAAAGCTATTTCTGAGCTCATTCAAGTGCAATTTTGGACACCAATCGTTTGAAATCTAAAATTAAAATAGATAAGAGAATTTTATAATTTAACAGTTAGCTAATTACGAATTAAACAGCTATTTCTAAGCTTATTTAAATGCACTTTTTGACAAGAATCATTCGAAAATTAAAATAGATAAGAGAATTAAATTATTTCGCAGCTAACTTATCACAATTAAAACAGCTTTTTCTGAGCTTATTTAAATGCAATTAAATAGACAAGAGAATTTAATAATTTCGCGACTAACTTAATGCTATTTCTGAGCCTTTAGAAATCCAGTTTTTGACACTAGTTATTAGATAACATAAAATAATGATGCCTCAGTGGAGGATAGTCGTAGTATAGAGATGTCTAAGTTGATGCACGCGGTATACGCATGCACAAGTTGTTTGTCTTGCATGTATTTTTTAAATATTCGCACGCGCGTTTAAGACAATCGTATGCAATATTAATGGCCCCTATTGCCGGTCAGCACTGGTTGGCATTAACAACCACAATAAAGCAATCAGTTAAATGATAATAGTGAAGTGATTATAGTTCGGTTCTGGCTTGGATATCTCTATAGAGAAGAGCCCCTAGCGGCTTACGAGGACATTCCTCTCATGGTTTGCATGTGCCCTATCTCTCCCTCAAGTTAGCTACCGCTGTACAAAATCAGAACTCTGTAGTTAGCAGGGATGTAATGAATATTGATTTTGTCGAATACGAATATTCGGCGGTCAAATAGCAGCATTTTTTCTTTAAAAATAATCATTTATAAATATTGTTTTTTATTTATAAGTTCAGACATTATTGAAAGATAATCAAAACTTAGTTATATCATTAAAGAGAAAGAAAATTATAATAGTTTTCCATTAGAAATATTGAAGCTAAATAAAAACTGACAACAACTATTAAAAAAAAATAAAAAACTTAAGTTGTAAAGTTGAAAAAAAGAGAAATAGAAAAAAAAAATCCTCTTAGGTCTCAAAATAAAACTTGAATGTTAAAAATAATATTTTCTGAGGGAAAAAAAGTAGCCATAAAATGTTAGAAGAGATATAGTCTATCAGAAACTTTTTAAAGAATGCTGCGCTTTCGAAAAACGCCCAAAAAAATAATTACAAAAGCGAAACAGAAAAAATAAAAAATCGATCTTAATTTAACGAAATCGATTAATTTAACGATCTTAATTTTTCAATATTACTTGAACGAAACGATTAAAATTGAGCATCTCAGTTTTCCAATTACCGATTTTTCAAGAAAAAGTGAAGAATAAAGCGTAATATAAACCCTCTTAGTTACCGTGTTATCATAAAACATCGATAAAAACAGAAGTTTTTTTCAAAAAAAAAAGAAAAAGCTGAAAGAAATCAAAACAAAAATCGTTATAAATTTATTAAAGAAAAATTTACCGCTAAAAATCTCAATTTAACTTTTTTAAATTGCCGTATTTTTAGAAAAAACGGACGATATAAAAGAATAACAGCTTTTTTAAAAATGCTGTCTTAATAAAAAGAAAAGTAAACAAAAAAAGCAAACGATAAATAGAAAGAAAAATTGTCCTTAGTTCCTAAATTATAACTTTAACATTGAAAATAACACTTTATGTTCCGGATATCTGTCTTGAGGTAGTACAGGAAATCAGCAACAATAAAGGAATTACGGAAATGCTCTGCCAAAATCATTGGTTTATATGCTATGATATAATAAAAGCAGAAAACAAAACAAAAAACAGCAAAGCAAAAGTATTTCAACATTTAAACCAAAAAAATGTTGATTTGCCTGAATATTATTTTAAAAATAAATAAATAAATCATCTATACAAAACTTGTGATTTAGTACAAAGTAATCTAGTTACAATTCTTCGAATTTCGCTTTACCATTTCTTTTTGAAAACANTTTAAACCAAAAAAATTTTGATTTGCCTGAATATAATTTTAAAAATAAATAAATAAATCATCTATACAAAACTTGTGATTTAGTACAAAGTAATCTAGTTACAATTCTTCGAATTTCGCTTTACCATTTCTTTTTGAAAACATAAATATTTAAGTTTCAGAGCTTAAAACAAATATGTGTTTAAAACTATTTTTTAATAATGCATATTTAATAATCATCGCTGACCAGCCGACCTTTTTTTGGGGTGTACGACTACTAATGTTCAACTACATAGCCTTGTAATTTTGAACCCAACCCAGAAGACAAGGGAATTCCAGGATCAAGTATTTGGGGGAAATTTGCCTTCGTGGAGAACTTTTTGAGGGAACTAACCCGCTTTTGCGTTACACGGAGAGGAAAACTTCGAGAAACTCCCACGGTTATCCTGACGGCAAGGGGACTCTAACCCATGATCCGTCTACCCCTGAGGATATTTCACGTCAGTACTGTGGTCGGTGAGAGCCGGATGCGGAATTCGTATCAACCAGCCATCGCTGGGATTCGAACCTGGTTCACCTCATTGCAAGGCGAAATTTCTATCCCCTGAGCCATCGCGGCTCTTAATAAAGTATAGTAAAAAATGCGATTTTAAATTACTCATTATTAAATCCATTTAAATTCCGAAAAAAAAACTATCGAAAAATATACTTTGCTGAATGTCTGACCAAATATTCGGCTAACCGAAAGTTCGGCAAAAGGGCCGAATACCGAATAATGGCCGAATATTCGTTACATCCCTAGTAGTCTGTAGTTAAAATATGCGACTCCGTATTTTCCGAGTGCCAATTAAAATTTCCATCGAATCCTAGGAAA